TGCGTTTGCTCTGAACAAGACCCAAAATGGTGGCGCCCAAAACAATTTTGGGGAACGGAATGCCGATACTTTAAAGCTCCTTTAGTGACTCTAGGCATGAAGTGAACTCGGGTGTATTATTTTCCTCTTCGTCTCTATTGTTTATTGATTTCAATCATATAGAATAATGAACACATTATATCACGCTACGCGTGTGTAATTATTTGTCTTAGATTTTTAACCTGACCGAGTACTTAAACAATTCATTTATCGACAGTAAATCTTCCAATATATTTTTTAAATGTGAAGGTAAAAAGACGCGGAGATTGATGATGATACAGACGCCAACGCCGCCCTCGGAAGTTTTTTGAACACTAGAAATCAACAGTTTGTCTGCCATCCGCCAGGTAGCGCAACAAAACACCCAAACAGCTTTTAATTGTTCTTAAAATTAGCTAAGCTCTACACCTATTAAGAAACCAAAGCAAAATCATTGTGAAAATGTAATACATCGCAATGTATATCTATTCCAACCAATAAATGTTATTAGATGCCAATAAATCTGTTTGATGTCCAAAAAAGATATGCGTCAAAAACAGGTAAGTTTGAAGGGCTCCTGGAGCGTTATGACTTTGAAAAGGAAAAAAAGTCATCGTCGACCTCTTGGTCAACCATTGTAGCTCTAAATGTTATAAAAGATTTTATCATAGTTTAATTATTTCCTCAGCGGCATTTGAAGTACCATGACTCGAAGCTCAAAAAAGTGCTACGTTTGATATAAAATATCTAAACAAAAAAATTTTACACAACAACAATTTCTTTCCTGCATATTACCAATTATAAGCACTACATCTGTAGCTAATCTCATTGCCCTAGCGCTTGTCATTAAAAACATATTTGTGCTGAAAAATGTCAATTTTAGGGCAGTATTTGGAGGGATGAAAAAAACAAAGTAGTGCAAATATCAAAAAAGTGTATCGTTACATTCTGCTCCGACATCATCTTAACAAAACTGCTATATTGGAACCGTGCTATCTTTAATGGATCGTTCATAAAACATGAACTAGCGGAGCAAGTGAGGGTCCGCGCCATCATATTCGCAACGCTACAAACGCGCATGAACAGTAAAAACCAACACAGACATAATATCAAATGAAAGGGGATTGCATTGCCTTTCGAAAGACATCAATCCCACAAAGCAGTGTTTAAAAGGAGATGAGTAATGACCTGCCAAAAAGTACCTAAACTGCCACAATCAGTGGGACCGTGGCCTTAAAGAAGCCGACAGGAAATTGATGCCACTAGTACTTCGGACGCGCTGGTGACGAGTGGCAACTGTCCCAGGCAAAATTGATTTACGACCAAAGCGGTTCTTTGACACGCCAGCAACAAGCACACAAAAAAGCCAAAAATACCTCTTTTCTGGGGTTTCTTTCGCACCCTACGAGGACCTCCCCTTGGCCCCGCCCCGACAGCCGAGAGAGGCCCTCACCCCTTTTTTCTTCAGGTGTGGCCCTGGGCTCCAGCCTCCCTAGCCCCCACCCCCTTAATCCAGGACTGACGCTGTCCGTGCCTGACGTGTTTTTATGTGTACCTTGTTTTCCCCTTTTGCCTTCGCATACCAAGACACTTTAGAAGATTTTTTTGGATACCCGTCTAGCTCAAGACCATCGACAACGTGAGTTTATTTTTAAATTTTGCTATGCTGAACTTTTAATATCATGACTACGAAAGCCAGCAAGAAGCTAACCAGCTTTTTTAACCCTGTGCCACGCGCTGTTTCTGTGAATCGTGCTGCCGAGGACAGTAATCAAGTGCCTACGGCTGCAACTAATGAGGGTGCGCACCCTTTTTCCGAAACGAATTGTGATCACTAGTGATCACCTTAGCGACGCTAGCATTTCAAACCTGCCCGAGTGCTGGAACCTGGAGCAGGGCGAGTTCTTCAAGAAAGAAAATGAATGGCTGAGCTTCGTGGACGGAAAATTAAAATGCCTGTCATGCTCAAGAGTTAAGCATTTAGGCAGCCTCGGTCGAATTTCCCTCGAATGGGCAGAGGGAGGAGTCAAGGCACCCGGTGACAGCAAACAGAAGCAACAAAGAGCTCTGCGGAAAAAAATTTACCAGCACAGGGAATCGGATGCCCACATCAAGGCTCTGGAGATCGACAGGACAGCCAAGAAAAGAAAGCTTGAAGAAGCATTCTCTGAGCAGCTGAATGAACATCAGGAAGCCACAAAGAAGATATTCCGAATCGCGTACAAACGAGCGAAAAACTGCCGTCCTATCAGTGACTTCAGCGATGAGATCGACGTGCAGACTGCGAATGGTGTGCATCTAGGCAGGGTTTTGCACACAAATGTCTCATGTGCAAACATTGTTGATCATATTGGAAATGAAATGCAGAAGAGCATGTGCAGAGCTCTTATAGAAGAGGGCGCAAAGTTCTCTGTGCTGATTGAGGAGAGCACTTGGTAAGATTTATTGCGAAAGCTCGTTACAACCGCCGAATCGCAACTCCCTATATCAGAGAACAATTTATACCCAGCCTGACATTCTCGTTTGCTGGGCCACGCTACTTGAGCTAGCTGAGCACAGCTGGCAGCGGCGCGAGCAAGGCCACGAGGGGAACGTGATGGTGCTCGAGCCATCCCACTGTGAACCAATGTTCCGGCCACCCCACGGGTGCGTGTCGCCATCTATTGGTTGAACTAACGCCTTGTTCAAGATGGCTGCCGTGGGATCGCAGCCTTAAAGGGGTACTCCACCGATTTTTTGAGCTACCTCAACTAACTATATTTTCCGACTCCCCGGCCTTTACCCTTTCTGGTATGCTATTTAGAATCCCGAAATTCATAATAGTTATTGCGAAATCGGCAAATGAAAATGATGCAAAAACCAACATTCAAATATACGCGCGGTTTTCAGGGCCGTGACGTCAGTGGCAGGCAGGCTTGCCAGTCGAGCAAGCAGCCAAAAAATAGAATATGCCAATCATTTGTTCCGTGCTGGAGCGCGGGTACTGCAGCGAGCTTCCCAGGCATTCATTTGACACCATGAAACTGCTTCGAATCAGTTTAAAACAAAATCTACAGCCCAAAGAGTGAACCCCTGCCTTCCACTGACGTCACTTTTTCATTGTTGCCAGTAGAGACTTCGAGCTTGAAAAGCACGGTGAGGACAAAAACTGTAAATTCAATAACTTCGCGAAAAAACAATATTTTGACCTAATATTCGGGATACTATTTTCGCGATGTTTGTTGGTTAGTTTAGCAAAATTTCAAGCAAATCGGAGACGATGAAAAAATCGGTGGCGTAGAGGGCAACTCCGCTCAATTCCAGAAAAATTGGGATTACTTGTGATTCCACTTCCCAAAGCACTGATGAACAACTTGACGTCTTTGGATTCGCGAAATGTGAAATATTTTTTGTGTAATCGTATTTTCAACATTAGCAGCAACCGAAACCGAAACTTTGAATGAGACAGGCAACATTGGTCTCGTGTCGTCAGAGGCATGTGCACGTTATGACGAACCACGTGGTTCGAGCCGTCACGTGAATCTCTCCACGATCGCGGACGGGCGGGCGAGCGGGGAGCAAGCGCCAGTGTCGTCTGCTCCGCACTTTTCGCCAACCTAGCTCTCTACAGCATCCAACGACGTCTTCACCACCGGGGACGAAGCTAGCGCTTCTTTACAGAAAAGGCAAGTTTTCTCAAGCGTATGTTTCGTAGGCATTTCAGAAGCTGAAATAGAGTAAACAATACATGTATATGTACTACGTACGAGCGTGCCACGGCCAATGCCCGCTGGAACAAAAGAACTGTAGTAAAATCAACAGTGTGGTGCATTCGTTTGTCCTCACGAAGTTGATACATTAGAGCTTAGTTACAACCGTCACACATCCCACGAAGCTTTGCTGTGCGAGGTGACGTGCCACATAATCGTCTTTCCGTGTCTTCGGTCACCAGCTCGCCCGTGCCTTAACTCTTCTTTCAGTTATCGTTTATGTGCCGTCGAAGGTTTGGCATCACCAGACATTTCGTAAGGAAGGGTTTTCAGCGCTGGCGAAAGCTGTGTACTCGCGCTCTAATTTTTCCGATATGCCACAAAATGTTGTCCCGGAACATAGGTCAGCTTGCGTATCCCCAGTTGGCGGGTTAGAATCCCGACCGAGATGCTCGTAATTTTACGCTTGCTTATTACCGAGAAGGCGCCGTGTAACCGAGATATCGGTTGCCCGTCAAAAGATTGCGAAGTGGTCCAAATTAATAATCAGACCTCCGTTGGGACGTGCTAGGTACCCCTCGTTGGGTTGGCACGTAAACCCCCAAATTTGCGCATCTTTTCCCGAAAATGGCGAAGTTTTCTCGCCGCTTGTTTCTACAGGCGCTAGACATTTACTCGTACACACGGAAACGCCCGGCGCGTAGTGCGGCCAAGGCGGTGTGCGTTTGACTGGTTTGACCGCACATATTTCCAAATTTAGTAGCCCAATTGTGCACCTTTATAGAGCTGTACGACAGACTACACGTTTGTTGTCAATAGCAAAAGTGTCCGCGAAAATGATCAATGCTGCGATAATTACGCTTCAGTGCACATTTGTTTGTTTTCAGAGTGTAGCTAATATTTGCACGCACGTTTTTTTTGTTGTTTTGTTTTGTTCTTTGTTAGAGGGTAACAGCAAATTAGTGGCATGAGCATAAGTAATCACATGTAGCCACCTATGCAAATGTCAAGGACCAAAAAAGAGGGTGCAATTATTGTTTCATTTTTTATTGATACCGTAGCTTGGTAAGAACAATCACATACACACAATTCCCACAAAACCAGCACAACAAAGTAATACACATGTGTAATTTACACAACTCAATTAAAATAACTCCTACTAAACATTCTTGTTTACAACACTTTGCCAGAGCTAATGCAACCGTCAGAGAAAAATAAATGTAACTGATCATACATAATCAAATGTTTCATTGATCCAAATGCTTTATTTTCAGTATCTATGTCCAACGACGACAGCCTGCCGCTTGGAGCAGACTTGGGAGGCCTGCAGCAAGGAGCTATATATGTACCTGATCCGTACAACTTTGATCCCCCATTGCCAGCAAGGGAACGACGTGATAGCCAGCAACAGGAAAGCCAGGAGTCCCAAGTCCAGTACGAACTACATTATGCAGATAAGAACTATTTGTGCAACTTGCATTTTCTGGGGTGACCAGAACTATAGAAAGTACAAACATAGCACCAAGGGAGTCCAGGCTGGCAGGAAGAATGTGAAGACCTAACCTCTTAGGTGGACCTCAGAACGGCATGCTGATACTTCATTAGGAAACCTACCTTCTTCAGGGTTAGGTCTCCTGAACAAGGCAGGTCTCCTAGTGAAACGTTGGCACGCCACTCTCACATCTGCCTCAAGCTCCCTTTTCACATAAGCATAGAAGATAATTTTTCAACTGAAATGTATCCTCTTTCAGATGCACATGTGGAAATTGCCCCCAGGAGGTCGGGCAATGCTGCAGGGACATGCCAAAAATCACACAAAAAAACTTGGGAAGGTGTGTCACAGAAAATGAACTTTTTCTGCTCGTATGTCTGGATGTGCGACTGCTGAACATAGCGTACGACCAGCTGAAATTTTTTCGCCCAACATATTTGGAGCCAGCAGCTCGGGATCGGAACAAGTAAGACAAGAACTTTTATAGCATATCAAATATAAATGCACTACACTGTAAGACAGTCTGTAAATCCCGCTTAGTGTATTGGCGACTCCAACAAAATCTATCGACGCTGCGTAGCGGCACCGCCGAGAAGCTCCAGAGAGGAGGTCATTTTGATTCTGTCTTCTGCTATCACAGCTTGGTTCTTGTAGGCAGCATAGAAACAAACACTGTTTCCAGTGATTATTTTTATGCTTCTGCCATGTCATTCCCATGCATTGATTAGAAGGTTTCTACTGTCGAAAAATCGTTTTGCTTTCTTATGTAACACATATGTTATGCTGCAATGCAAGATATTTATGGTGGTCCGCGTGCTGAACGATGAAAACGACGTCCTTTTGTCCGCCATTTTGCCTGACCAGCACACCCCCTAGACTAAGCTGGAGTCGCGAATATTGCAAACGTTAGTTGTGCTCATGGTACCTTGGATCGAAGAAGGCACATAGCCAGGTGTTTGTTTTGGGGGAGGGGGGAATATTGAATTACCTAAATTGTTGTGTCTACGTGTAGGTTGAGCCGAAGAAGACAATGAATAAGAATGAACGAACTGAGCTCTGAATGGGAACAGCTTGCCTTCTGTTAAACTTGCATAGACAGTCCCTATACATAACAATTGTCACAATCGACAGCTTCAACTCGATTATAAAGGTTGATTCACCCGTCTTTCCTACCATACCCAGGCGAGCCTGCGATTTCATGGAGGAATGGTACGCCAGTACACGATCCCTTCCAATGGGTCGACAATAGATAATGGCAGAACTGCCATTCTATTTAGCTCACTTGAAGCTGAGAGTCAGCGGACCTACTGCAAACTGCCGGAAGATTCTGCCTTGTCCACTGCTACCACTCATCTAAATGCAAGTACTGCAGGAGCTACCTCCGAATCGCGCAGACCTGCATCGCCCATTTCCAGAGCCTATGATGCAGTGGCAAGAGAGTTACAAAAATTCTTGACAGTAAAACATTGGAAAGATTTATTTTTCGTTGCACACGTGGATGACCGGCCAAAACAGTACAAGAGTGTGTCACGTTCTCCGGGGCCTTGCGACAAACTGCTGGTTTGGGACAATAACAGATGAAATAATCTGCAATCAACTTGTCAATAAGACAATTCATGCCGAAGTATGAAACCGCCCACTACTAGAGCTTGAGCTACCACTCGAATCAGCTCTTGCCATCACCTAAAAAGTTCAGCGGGCGATGAAGGAGGCCAAAGTTTTTACCAAAGATGCGGGACTCAGTTTTCAAGTGGCAAAGATTCAAGCCCAAAAGAAACCAATAGTTAGGGGCAAAACACCCAATCAAAGGTCGTCCAGCATTTACTGCAGATCTGGTTCAATGTGCCACATGGCAGACTACCCTAAACGTCCTGCAAGGAATCAAGCATGCAGAAAATGAAAGATTGGACATTTTGCCTTTGTTTGCAAGCAAACAGTTTTGACAGGATCACAAGTACCAAGCATAGAACAAACTGAAATATAGCAACTCGGATATTAGCAAACTGTACCACATGCAGGATACTTGCGTTCCTTTTTATCAAACTCCTAGTAGACACAAGACCCTCGGTTTCAATCTTTCTGGAAAGCGTCTACAGAAGATGCTTCCATTCTTGTAAGTTGCAACCTACAAGTACTGCATTCATTGGCTACTCCGTAAGAAAACATTGCTATTCCAAACATTTTGGAAAAAGCCAGCTCACCAGTACAGTTGGCACAAAGTAATGGCGATTGCACATTCCACGTCGTCCGAACAAGACAGCCGTAATGGGACTATAAATGCTTTACAAGGGTTGGAAATTCAACTGGACTTTTCATCTCCTGCGGATGACAGGTGACTATCATTTCGGCAAACGACCTTCCAGAGGCCGTTTAAGGTTTCCTCCAGCTGTTCTCAGGTATGGGCCACGCCATTGGGTATGTTCACAAGGTGAAGACGAAGTGTCCATCAGTCTGGTGCAACAGAATCTATGAAGGATAACTTTTGCAGTGCATGACAAAGTTCCTGTAGAGCTGGCAAAGTTGGAGCACTCCTGGGTGATCGAGCGCAATAATGCATCACAGACCACTTCCGCAAATCAAACACCTCTGTTGTTCTCAATTCACGTCCTCTTCTGTGTCCAAACGAGCTCCTTCACCAGCTTTCTGGCACCCACATCTTCAACCAGTGGGACCTCTCGTCAGCGTACCACTAGCTGAACCTGATAGAGGAGAGCGGGGACCTCATTGCGTTCGTGACTCATGAAAGTCTCTTCCTGTTCACAGTATGTTTTGGGCTGGCTTCCACTGCTCCGGCTTTTCAAAATATAAAGAACTGTATTCTTTGGGACACAACAGGCACCATTGTCAATCTATCCAGGATGATGTGCTCAACTTCAGTTGCACAACTGAAGAGCATGATGCCCGCCTAAGACAAGGCTTACCCCGCCTACAGGACGCAGGTTGGAAACCGAACAAAAACAAATGCATTTTTCAGTGCAGCAACTTCAATTTCTTGGACATAAGTTGGCACCTCAGGGAATTGAGCCATGCCATGATAATGTTCAAGCCACCATGCAAGCTTCTACTCGAAGAGACATGACATCATAACCGGTCTTTGCTTGACCTGCTTACATACCGTTTCAAATTCATACCTAACTTTGCAACCATCGTGAGGCCCTTGCATGTGCATCTGCGGAAAGATGTCCCCTTATAATGGCAAAAAGCACAAGAGGTGGCATTTGCATCAGTCAAAACACGATTCGAAACTGTTCCATTTAGTTTTCGACGTGACACTGCCTGCTATCGTCACAGGTTGGAGAGAAATTTACTTGTCAGTTTTTTTTTTAATTCTCCAGTTAGAATTCTACAATCGTCAGAAAGATTCATCGGATTATGGATTAGGCACAGTGCTACAGCAAAACATCCAGATGGAATTCGCACTATCCTGTTCACATCGCGATTGCTTTCCAGCGCCCAGTGCAACCGCTCTGCAGAGTTAGAGGAATAGGCGTGCCTCTGGGCCTGCGAGAAGCATCATGTTTTCCTCTTCGGTCACCATTTCATGCTCAGGATGGACCACCAGGCTCTGGTTACACTACTCTGTATTTAGGGAAACGGTCGACAACCGATAACAATTGCCGGGTGGCCATGCGTCTCCTCAAGATCACCAAAAGGGCAATGAGAATGTTGTGGCAGTCGAGCTTTCTCGTCTTCCTGCATTTAATTCCTCAGATTGCACGAAGTCATACGTCGAAAAAAGAAAATTCACTTGCCCTGTGTGCAGTCTCTGCTGAATTGACCAAGAAGAGGTACAGAAAGAGAAAGAACAAGACCCCGATTTACCTCGGGTGATAGTGTGTCAACATGGGTTGGGGTCTCAAATACCTATGGGAATCAGCACTGTCTCCCACTACAAGATACGAAAAGAACTTTCCTCTGTATATGGCTTACTGCTATACGCAAAACTGCTGGTTCCTTCTGCTTCACTCAGACGAATGGTGTGAACCAAAATACAACTATGTGAATGCTTCTGTGGTGGCCCAGAATGGATAGCGAAGCCAATACTTGTCCAAATACTGTCACGCATGTCAGACAACCGACAAGTAAGCAGCGAAAGAAGGATCACCTCTACAACCAGTGCTTTTTCCAATAAGCGCATGGAAACAGCTTGGAACAGACACTGTGGAACTATTCTACAAACTTCTCTCACCATTACCGTTTTGCAACAAACTAGTTCAGTAAGTAGCCTGGGGTTGCTTTCTGTAGTCAAGTGACAGCAGAGATTGTCTGCGACTTCCTAATAACAACATTGAGGTGAGAGGGACATCCAAACATTACTGCCTTGGACCATGGCTTACAGGTCAGGTCCCGCACAACCTGAGAGTTCCTCAGGTCGAGGGACTTCTCATCATCAGTCTGCAATTTGCAGTCCACAGGCGAATAAACGAGTTAAAAGATTTAATTGAATTTTAAAATTGTCTGTCCAGTCAATCACTCAAGAACGAGGAAACACCCATACAGGCAGTAGTGAATTTCTTCTCTATAAAAGCACACCAGAAGGAGCGGCAAAGGTTTTCACGCATGAAATTTCTAGAAATGTCTAGATATCATGGGCTTTCCAGGTTTCGAAAAGCCTTTTCCTATAGAGATGCAGCAAAAGGGTCCCCAAGTTCACAGTAAAAGTGTAGCAGATGAAGTCTTTCTAAGACTCTTACCAATTCTTCTGTTACTTTCTCAGACGGTACAGGTACACGGCATACAGCCAGTTCGTCTGGTGGATTTGGGGACGACTGGGCAGGTTTCGCCGCGTCAGGCTCCCGTGCTGTGTGGTGGCCAGGATAAGAAAAGAATTCCCATCGACCACATACACGGGCTTCCACTATGCTTGATCGAACCGGGTCCTGTGGGCCAACACCGCTGCTTCCTTGTCTGGCCTTTGTGCAACGCTGCACAGAGGTGGTCGACGAGGACGCGGCCCGTTCGCAGCCACAGCCAGCTGGTAGGTCCGGGAAGCCTTGGCCAACTCCAGGCAGGAATTGAGGAGCCTCTGGACGTAGTCTGAGTAAGAAAGTGTGATAGTCAAGCTGCAGCCAATGTCTGAATAAAAGTGTCTGTATTTACCGTACGACGCAGTCTCCATGATGGGGCTGAGGACCCATTCGCCTTTCCGTGACTTGGGAAACTTCAGACAACTTCGCTTTTTGTCGTCCTTCGTTGTGGCCTGCGCACGGTTGCTGTTCTCATTGTAGTGGAGCACCGCGACGGCAGTCCTGTGAGGGCCGCATATAAGGGGAGGAAAGACTGTAAACATGCCCCAAGCATATTTCATATTAGAACTTTTCAGAAATTTTCATACTGCACAACACATGCTAGTAACCGTATCCACACTGGCAGGCAACCTGTCGTATGCTAGCAGACCATCCTCGGGAACATGGCCCTGCATCGTTTCACACACTAGCAACCCATCCTATTCTCATTGATTGACTCACTATTATTGTGATCAAAATTAAGTCGACACTTCTCATTTACTGTAAACGACTTATTTTTCGCGGTCTCAATATTTCTTGATTTTGGTCGAAGCTCAAGCTTTGTAATAATTCGCAGGTTCTAAGTTTTGCGACACAATGGGATCTCAATGTAGATTCTTATGTGCTTACATTCTACCAAAATTGTTTGCGGGACATATTTTTCGCAAATTGTAGGCGATTCACAAAAATTAGGCCTTCGCGAAAATTAAGTCGTTTACAGTTCAAGATGCGCTGCAATTTGCCACCATTGTGCGGACACAAGTATGTGTGAAAAATGGCTTCCCTTCGACTTACGGTAACAATGAGAAGCTCGTTAAAGACGAGGGAGATAAAGATTGTACAAATTGACGTAGGGCCTCGCTCCTAAAAACAGTATGTGCACTCGCTCATCTGCTAGTGTACATAAGTGCATCCCCAGAATTTTCTGCGTGAGTGGTGCACAGTAGAAATTTCAGAAAAGGCTCATAAATAAACAAATATCACTAGCATATATCAGGATGCCTGCTTACCGTGCCACCATGCCCTCAAAACTGAAATGACTGGATTTCGGAGTAAACCGGAGCAGCATGCTGTGGAACGACTCTAGGCGATAGGTCTGACCGTCTCCAGACACCCTTGGTATGTCCTTGAGTAGTTGCTTGGACATGACGATCTTTTCGAGAGCCACGTATGGCTCGGTCCCTGCGATAAGAGAAAGTATCGAAATAACCCTCAGGGTGTCTAGCAAGTTATTACAACTCTACAACGGTCCCTGACCATTGTAGAGGTGGTTAAATATATCAGATCATTACAACACAAGGCATTGAGCATTCAGAACTGTAACAGTACTTTCGCACGGGCTGAACCCAACTTGCATATTCCGAAATATTTGGGTTCGTCCTGTCCGGATTAAATGAGCACTTTCTTGCCCCCTGACATAGTCAGTGAAGAAGCCACTTCCAGAAACACAATAAAAACATGACGCTGAACCAGACATGTTAATAATTACGAATGGCAGCATGGCATAGCCGCCAGATGCACACTTTCGTATACTTTTGGCTTGGATTGTATTGGGGTCTGCAGCTTTCCCATTTGTTAATAATAATAAATCTAGTAGCTCTAACTGGATCTAGTCTAGTGTCGCGCCCTCAATCCAATCCAAGGCTTTTACTGGATTTGTCGGCGGTTCCCTTTGCATCGGGTATTACACTCTACATCAATTGAGCAGGGCCCGCGGGCTCCGCTCCAAGCAGAATTTATTACCTATTTTTCTGCCCACAGGTTTTCAAGTCTTTGCTCAGGGCACTCGATAGCGTTTCCGGCACATTTTCCCTGACTCGGCTCGCTCTTTGGCAATATCCCTGACAGTCCCCCGATTTTTCCTGGTAATTAAATTTCCCCTGACAATTCCCGGTTTTGCCGGTCTCTAGACACCCTGACCCTTGTAAGTGCTGAGTTTATATCGATAATGACTGAGCAGGTAAGCCAGAGCGCAGCCGAGTATACTCCTGGTGGCACCCAAAAGGTTAAACAGCAAAGCCAGTGCCCATTGCAGCCTGTCCACAAATCACTTTTTTGTGTTGTATACGTGATGCAACTGCCATTTTATTTTTTATCCATCTCTGCAGAAGCTAGATCTCTGCTCAGTAATTCTGCATAAATAATTTTCATATAATCTGCAATTTCCCTTTTTATGCGTCTTTTGCATGTTACAAGTCGGTCTTCACTTCCTCATTCTGTGTCTTTTCATGACCTCAAAAGTGGAGTGTTTTTCTTGAAATATAAGGCTAGAAACATGCAGTTTAAGCCTCTTGATGTAATTGAAATGTCCGCTCAGTACTATGAGCTGGATATGAGATGGAGTCCTCCCATCGGCAGGTCTAGAAGGGGGGGGGGGGTTGGGATATCCTGACCCTCCTTTTGAATTCCGCAGGTGTGAAATGCAGAGCGGAAAAGGGGGGGGGAGCATACGAGTTATCCGAAACACAATCTGGTATGCTGATCTTCCATCTGGAAACACTTGCATTCATCTCCAATTCCTCCTTGTGCTATTTGATTGTAGACTGGCCAGAGCAGCCAAAGGAAGTCTGTCCTTGTTATGAAAGCTTCGCCGACAACTGGAGTGAAAAGAATGTTATGAATGTTTAAAGAATGAATCTTTTTTACCTTCCTGAAGCCACCAGCGCTCTTCGATTGGGCCATGGGTGCACGCAGGGTACAGGGGGCTGGGGTGCTGATGGACGTTGCTCACGTGTCGCATTACGGACACCCATTTTGCGAGCACCAGCGCGCCATTGTCACTGCTGGTCTGTGCACACCAGTAGACGTGTCCACGTACAGTCTTCACCCATGCATTCAAGATGCTGTTCTTCTTTGTCTTGCCTGCAGAGGCCATCTTGCTCCCAATGCCTATAAATTAGAAAGCCTCCATGATTATTAGCTCAGCACCAGTCTAGTTTGGAAAACAAGTTTTGATATTAGATACACTAAATATATGAAGCTATAGTAAAATTGCATCTAGATACTGGTGCAGCATGGACAACATCGTCAACTTTAGTATACCATATGACGTTTGAATAATGCCACGTGTATCTTGACAACAAAGCATGTTGCACTATAGTTCATTGCGCCAGCAATCATTAACTCAATCGTGATCGGGCGGTGTTACACAGCAGTGCCATCTACCATCAAGCCGCTAACGATCATTGAATTCAACTGAGCTCGCCTACCTCAGTTAACTGATGGGGGTTCACCCCAACAGAGCTAAAGATGGCAGCATTCACCACTGATAGCCAGTGCTAGCGAAGCATTTACTATTGCAGAAGAAGGTATCTAAAAATTATCATAGCAGCAAATATTATCAGAAGAGGTATGATACGAAGTCAGAGCTACCACTAAAACTATTGCGAAACGTCGAGGAAGTGCGGCCATTGTGATGTCGGTGGCAGTAAGACTTTCGTTGTCACTCTTGCTTTAAATTTCTGTGAAATATTCCAATTTTCGTTTTCTTTGTTCTCAAAATAAACTAAAATCTATCACTCTGAACGACTTATTTTTTACAGGCTCAATATTTTACGATTTAGGTCAAAGCTGAATTTTTTGAATAATTTGTGGGTTTTCATTTTTGCGACATGGTGGGATCTCAATATGGGCGATTCGTGAAATTTAAGTTGTTTACAGTATATGTCAAGTTAAACTTTTTTTTGTGTGTGTTTTGTGAAACATGTTACACACAATTATCCTCAATACTTTTTTTTCTATCATGTGGGTCACGTGACGTGCATCAGAACTCGGGTCATTAGGCCCATGTACCGCGTAGCACCAGGCAACTTAGTTGAGCTCAGTGAGATGTCCATGATCCTTGACTCAATGATTGTTAAAACGGCCCATGTACAGGGGTATTGGAGTTATCAATACTATTACCTTTTGCGACATGCCATGCGTCGAACCGGTGCTTCGTGTCGGGGTACCTGTCTCTCATCAGGGCATTCACCCCAAAGTGCCGGTCGGTCACAAGAACATACACAGACAGCCCCATGCTCAGGAGGAAGTCCAGAGAACGTTTCAGGCCCTCCGTCTCCATGTGGTTGCTCGACTTGACTTCTGTCGACTAGGGTAGAAAAAGGTGCCGTAAAATGCATACCTGATCCATGTGATGCATTGAGGTCATCTTATATTTAGCCACTTCTTACCTGAAGAACCTCGTAGTGCATGATCTTGTTGATGCGGGTGTCAAGCAGTGTATACGTCCCATACTTGGCAGAGTAACCAGGCGAGTCAGCACGCCCATCGCCTGCAAGGTGGAGCTTGTCTTTCGTGGCTGTCAGGAGAGACTCCTGTTCAGCTTCCCAGGTCTTTGAAACAAGAAAACTCAGTGTCAGGCTCAATCAGTGAACATGTTTAATGAACGGACAATCTTGTAGTCACTTCTGCTCACCTTTGTAGCAGCAGGAAAGACCAAAGAGCTCTGCACCCGGAAGAACTGAGTCTTCTTCAAGACTTGCACGCCTATAGATCCCAGGAGGCGAAGAACGCGCGTTGGGCTGGCTCCAGAGTAGGTGATGGCAGCAGGCAGCAGGATGTTGAGGAGTGCCTTGCTGTTGATTCTGGGCTGGTTCTCCCACACAGTCTTGTGCCCTCGTGCACACGTGATGACGGCGTGCACAAGGGTCCCTCGATGTGTCAGCTTCGTCCGTGTCGGAGCCAGGCATTTGATGCAAACCGAAAACAGCAGCAGCAGCTGTGATGCAGTCACCAGGTACTTCCTCTCCTTTACCGGGTCCACTGCTGCTGAAGACGTGCTGCACCCTCCTTCACTGTTAAAAAAAGAAAAAGAATAAACCAAAAGATTATAGTGTGGAAATTTCAAAAACAGTTCTTTTTTAACGCTTCTAATTTTTTCTATTCTGCCATCATCTCTCACAGTTCTTTGCACAAAACCGGGATATCTAACAAGCTCCTCCTTTCATATTCATTGACCTTGCCAGGTTCTCCCAGACTATCTCTATTAAATTTCCTGGCCGTTATTTCAACCTGGTCCGAATAACCAAGTGTGATCGTCGTGCTTTTTATAAGATGTACTTCTAAGGCTCCTCCACTGCACCATAAACTGTA